GAAATTATTAGCAAGTTGATCTTCTTATACCTAATTAAAACCACTACATTAGAGAGAGAAAATTCTTCATCATAATTGTAGCCGACTTATCTTATAACTAAAAGCACTACATATAGAGAGAAAGTTATCTCGCATAATTGTTACGAAGCTTATCTTCTACTCTGTAATACCTTAAAGCACTACATATTAGAGAGAAAATTCTTCTGCACAATTGCCCCCACTCAATTGTTTGCAAGCCAAATCAATGAGAAAAAATGTCTATGTGTACACTTTTATAATCACTTTTATAAGTCATATTTTTATCAATTAGGCTTGTTTTGATCATATATAATAAATTGTTTCAAAATAGGAAGGTTGTTTAATAAACGTCAAAGGTTTTTTGAAATTATATATATATAATATGGTGTCATATGAAAGATCGTAAAAAATTATGAATTTTGATATATCTTTTATAAAAATCAGAGAAAAAATGAAAAAGTTATATCAATTTGAAAAAATTGGTATTTTTCGTACTGTATAATAAGGCCCTATGAATAAATGCCACGTTTGCTAATAATACGGAGGAATATCAATGCTTTCATTCGTTTTCTTAACTTAATAATTTCTTAATTAATGTTCCATATTAGTCCTTTAATTTGCCACATGGCAATTGTATAACAAATGAGTAAATTGTGGAGAGAATGACACATAGACTTTTTAGAGGGTAAAAATGTATTTTAATGAGCCATTTGCTTTCTTATATATAAATAGAATAGAATAGAATAGAATAGAATAGAATAGAATAGAATAGAATAGAATAGAATAGAATAGAATAGAATAGAATAGAATAGAATAGAATAGAATAGAATAGAATAGAATAGAATAGAATAGAATAGAATAGAATAGATGGTGTGATATTTGCAATATCAATTTTCAACTATACCTGGTATAACCTTGGTGGTTAATGTAGGATATATCTGTCAATGCACTTTGATAACACACAACCATGCATTACAGTTAAAAAATGACCTCTTATGCTCCGTACTTCGTATAATATAAGTCCAACATTAGGACATTGAACATTTGATTACTAAGTGTTCATAAATTGAGGTTTATTAGACCATTTGAAAATGAATTGTTCAATATGCTATAATGATGAACATGTGTATTATACTATAGGATTATTAGCTAAATATATCCCCAACTATATCATGAAATTCACAAATCTATCTCATACTTTCACTTTTATTAAAAAAGACTCAAACTTCAACTTTTCTCACAATTACACTTTATTTCGATGGATGAATTAGTACAAATTAGAAGAAAATTATATTTATATTTCATATTTTTTCACTTTTTCTAGTTTTAAATTTACAAAATTGTATTGCTTATATATTATTGGTATTGATAAAAATGTGTAATTTTAAAAAAAAACAAAAAAGAAAAGCACTATTGTTGGAAAACATGAAGTTTGAGTCTTTTTTTGATAAAAATGAAAGTGTAGGATAGATTTGTGAATATGATGATAGTTTGGGATAAAATAAACTAATAATCCTAAATTATATAAGAAATATTGGTATTTGGTATACCTGCTCTAAGTGCATTAGATTCGATTGATATCAGATGGAGTCAAATTAAACAAGAGATTGGTGAAATGGTAATATTCAGCCACTAACAACTAATATTAATTAGAAGTTGTTTAAATAACAAATATTCATCCATCAATAGCCAATAACTATCCATTGCCAACATAAGAAAAGGGTAATTTCACAAGAAGCTAACTACTTGCTACACATCCGCCCACTGAGGAGTAACTTAGCAAAAAGTACTGTTCTAATGAAATGGTGGTAAACATGAATTTTAATTGACCGACTTGGATGGCTGAAAATAAATCTGGGGGATGACCGGAGTATGAAATATGTATTCTGTTTTTGTCTAATCTACGGTGATGATATAAACAAGAAATTTGTACTCTATTTTTGTCTAGTCCGGGCCCTCCTAGGACGTCTAAGAAGGATAAAGGAACTCTATTTTTTTCTTAGTACATGTTTTTGTATTCCTTTCATCCCAAAATGTTCTCATGCGCTTTAAGATGTTTGACTCGGTTTAAAACTGTTGAGATTTATTCCTTCAACTTCAAAGAGACAACATTTTTCCTTGAGTTTCAAGTGAAATAGTTTGATATATTGTGAGTAATGAGTGAGCACAAACAAATAATGGATCACAAGCAAGTAATGAGTCTAGTAGATGGGCTATATCTTATTAATCAATAATAAGGTATGTTACAACACACTCTACTATCAGCCCGCTAGGCCGATCATCTATCCGAGCTAGGAAGAGGGGGAATATATAATTGCTTATTGCTAAAGAGTACAAGTTGCTAGTCCCTTACAATGTATATTGAAACAATTTACTGTCATGAGTATGTAGTAATACTTATACTATCAAGGGGTAGGTGGTGTTGGTGATGTGGAGGTTTGCGAGTGGCTAGCATCCCAACCACCAAAGCTACTGCATTCAATGTGTTTCCCATCAATATCTTGGTTTCACTCCAATAGGTCCGAACGAGCCTCTCCTGGTCTTCTGATTCTGGGCCTATGTAAGCACACACACAGGGCCGGAATTCACTAGGCCTACGCCGGCTTCTCTCCCCGAGGCCTTTGGATCATCATCTGGATTGTATAGTACTATAAAAGGCCTGTAAAGCCGAGCGTCTTCTGGCTAATAAGTCTTTTTTTTTTATAGAAAATATGTAAGCAATGTAACTTTTGATTTCATGAGATGAATTATGTGATAATCCATATAAGTAATGTTGGAGTTACTTTTCTAATTGTATTGGCTGAATTTGCTATGGAAATTACATGTAACTTTTTATTCATTTTAAATATATTTTTTCAAAATTCAAGAAATTCAGCCAATTCAGTAGTTTTCGATAGAATCTCACAAGATCCAACAAATTCAATTAGTTAATTTCCGTTTTATCAAATGGACTTTTGTTTGAAGTTTCAACTTCAATTATATTTAGCCTTGCTATAAGAGATTTTAACTTTTGCTGTTCGAATAATTTTTGAAAAAGTGAAAGTTTGTGATTGTACAATGTATTAATTAGAGGTTTATTTTTCGGATCTAACATAAATTTTAATAGATAAAAATTTGAGTCAGTAGCTTTTAATGGTTAAAAGTATTTAAAGTTTACGTCATAGTAACTACAAAAGTATACATGTAAACTTTATACACAATCATAATCAAAAGTTACGTGGTCACATGTTTACCCGTTTTTTGTTAGTACCATTTTAGGAAAATTTTCATTATTTTTTTATCTCTTTTAATTGTGATTTTGTTTGACAAAAATTCTACACATGCATTTTTGGAATATAAATATCTTGCAGATTCTAAAACGGAAATCAGTTAGACTATAAAAGTCTTGGTCATAAACATGTGAGATCAGAGAGAGAGAGAAACACATTAAAAGACACTATTAATGAATAAAAATGTGAAAGGAGAAATTGTGAATGATTAGATTAAAACATGTGATTAAGGTGTGTGAAAAACTCAAAGCTCTAGGAGAAGGGTAGAAGAGGGCTGAGATAGCAAGCGTGATTATATGATACATGATGTATCCATATATTTTACAAAGATTTTTTTTAAAGGATTTTACAAAGATTATTGTAATTTGCCTTGTATTTAAATTTTTCTATGTGGTAATTACCCGAATGGGTCACTTTTACCCACCGTATTTAGTTTATAACCCGAGATTGTTGCCCTTCGGTCCATTCATGTGGTGTATATTTTTTGTATTATATTTTGTTACTTTTTGTTTTACCACGTGTATTGCATTTTGTTGCACCGTGTTGCATTGTGTTGCACCGTGTTGCATTTTGTTGCATTTTGTTACTTTTTTTTGCATTGTGTTTCATATTACTGTTTATTGTTGATTTAGATTTTTGTTGTTTATTTAGATTTCTATCTATTTTTCTACATTCTTAAAATAGAAATATCCATATAGATTTAGATACAAACACCGAAAGTGTTAAGTGTTGATTTATGAATATGAAAAAAACTAGAAACATAAAGAAACAATAAAAAAACAAAAGGTTCAAAAATGTCAACAAAAAGAAACACAAAGAAATCGTATGCAACAAAAACTAAAAATAATATGATAATAATAATTCAAAATTTATGTAATCTAAGAAACATAACATTCAAAATCTTTTTTTTTTTAAATTTTAAATTCTTTTTATGTTCATTATTTTAACTTTCCATTTTTCCCTGTAAGTTTATTTTAATTTACACTATTTAAGTTACATTACCTTTCTGATTTTTATTTAATTTTATATAGTATATTTTACCAAACAATTTAATTATGTAATATATATATATATATATGTGTGTGTGTATATATATTATAATTTATTTTAAAATTTTAGAATGTTTTTGAATTATTATATGTATTTGATTTTTTTAAATATGATTCATATTTTCAATTTTTTTAAAGCAATTACTTTTTAATAAAAGTTTCGAATTGCTTTCATGTTATTAAATCATTTCAAAACATTTTTCTCTTGTTTGAAATATTTTTAAGAAATATTGAGGCATACTCCATATTATGAAGTATAATATTTTATTGGTGCAAGTCTCGGTATATATTTTATTATGAAGTATAAATATTGAGGCATACTCCACATTTTTATCCATTTTTATTAATAAATATATTTATTGATCAATATTTTTAAGAAATATTGGTGCAAGTCTCAGTACATACTCCAAAAGATTGATCAATGTTTCTCATTAGCATAATATATAGTAACTCCAATCAATTTAATTACTTTGAATAATGAGGCGCCAGTTTCGAGAGATGCTTAAAATGAGGCGCTAGATCTAATTCCTTACTCCCTCATGTTAGTTTTTCCCGTATTAGTTACGGAAGTTTTAAATTAATATTTTAATATTAATTATTCAGAAAATAAAGTACATTTATTTAAGGGGAAAAACTAATCTGAAGTGGTCCATTTATTAGATAAAGATTACCCATTATTTCCCCAACTTATTAGCGAGAGAGAAGATCGGTAACTTCTCCCTATTCTTTTGCCGCACGATGGGAGCTCCTTGATGGGAAGAGCTCGTTAAATAGCGGCCGATTGGCTCTTGTTTGGCACCCTGAGTCTGCTCCTCACCATTAGTATACACATACCATCCAAGTGAAGGTGAAGAGAAGGGCTTGGAAGAGCAAAACAAGCAGGGGCAGTTCACTGTGTTCATCCAAGGAAATGGCTGGAGGTATGTATTGTCTATATCCTGCTTCCGCTTACTTCTATACTGATCTGAATATGTGCAGTATGTGTATAGCATGTTTAGATCAGTTTGTTCTTACATTTGGTATCAGAGCTTTGGCTATTATCTCTGCCTTTCCTTCGGTTATTTACGATTGAGCATGCCTGATTCATTTATAATTCATTAATTCGAAAAATCTGAACATATATTCAATTATGCTTGATACCCTGTTTGCGTTTGAACACTGGGCATACGTCGGTTTATATAATTGATTAATTATACGCACATCCGATTATGAGTGTACAGAATGTATGTTCAATGTTCATTCCCAAATTGTTCAATACTCTGTTTGAATCCATCAAATGTTCATTCGTATCATATACGGAGTATATATTAATATATGAATTAATGTGTCTTGGATTGAGTGTTAATCATTGGTTTACAATCATATTTTATTTAGCATGATATATCATTGATTTTCAATTGGATACATGTGCCCTGTTGATGGTTAAAGATGAATCTCGAAAACATGCTTTTTCATGCTCTTAATGTGTTTGTGATAATGCTCCTATTAATTTAAAGCGCTATACAGCACTGACATATTCAGGACCTGTGAATGTTTTGTATTCCCAAGTTAAAGTTCAATTGATTAATACTGAATTGTAGTGATTCTGCATTAGTGTTTATGTCAATTGATTGATCCTGGATTGTTTGTTTATTCAGTATGAGTGGTTTGCTTTACAACTAAGTAGCTGCAATTTTATTTTGTAATAGCTATTAGTACCAGAATGTGTATTGTGTACAAAAAACGTTCAACCACTGGATTAATCACTAGTTCAATCAAGAGCACTATATGATAACATTCTCCAGAATTTTGATTGATAATATACATTACAATTTTAAAATAGTAATGAAACTAGAATGCTATATGTGATTTGAAATACTCCAGAATGTTGCTAATGCATGTAGTTCAGTTAAACTTGGTTGGAAATCTGGAATTAAGATATAGTTTAATTGATTAAAGAATAGCCACAGCATCTTTGATTAATTAAATTGTATAATGAGTTTGTTAATCACATTAAGGCATTACTTGTAATTAATTATATGAAATATATTGAAATCTGCCCACAGGAATTTCATTGTATTAGTATAATTAATTAGGATGAAATATTAGATTGTTTTCTCAAACTACCCACAGGAATTGAGAATGGAAATATAATCTGATAGTTTTGTCAAATTATTTGCTTTATGTGTCTAATTGAGTAAAACTTTAGCCCACAGGTAAGTTTTATGTCACTAGACTTATAGCTAATCATGTTTTGCATTGGTAGAACATGAACTTCATTTTACCTCAAATATTAATAATGAGCATGTATATATTATATTTTACAGTTGTTCAACCTGCGAATGTTTCTGATATGAAATGTGACATTCCCGAATTAAGGGGCGATAACTATAAGGTTTGGAAGGAGCGTGTTCTCCTTCATTTGGGCTGGATGGACATTGACTATGCTATAAGGAAAGACGAACCACCGGCTATAACGGCAACCAGCACTCCGGATGCAGTTCATCTTTATGAAAAGTGGGAGAGATCTAACCGTCTCTCCGTAATGTTCATAAAGACCAAAATAACTGCTGGTATCCGTGGTTCTGTCGATCAGCATACTAAAGTCAAGGACCTTTTGAAGGCTATTGATGAGCAATTTGCTACATCTGATAAGGCCCTTGCCAGCACCTTAATCATGCAATTCGCAACCATGAAGCTCACTGGGATAAGAGGCGTGCGTGAACACATCATGCGCATGAGGGACATAACGGCTCAGCTGAAAGCTTTGGAGGTAACCATGTCGGATGCTTTTCTGGTTCACTACATCCTTTACACTCTTCCACAGCAATATGCTCCTTTTAAGATCTCCTACAACACACATAAGGAAAAATGGTCAATTAATGAGCTACTGACCATGTGTGTTCAGGAGGAGGAGAGGTTGATGATGGAAGAGGGTGAACGGGTGAACTTGACTGTTCATGAAAAGAAAAGGAAGGATCATGCCAAAGGTAAAGGCAGCATCCCTCCACAGGCAGTCATTAAGAAAGAGTCAAAGTGTTTCTTTTGCAAGAAAAAGGGACACATGAAGAAAGAATGCTCTAAATTCAAGAGCTGGCTCGAAAAGAAAGGTACTCCATTAGCTTTTGTGTGTTATGAATCTAATATGGTTAATATTAATCACAACACATGGTGGATTGATTCGGGTTCTACAATCCATGTTTCTAATACCTTGCAGGGTATGGAAAACCTAAGGAAACCAGTGGCAAGTGAACAATGCATCTATTCAGGAGGAAGAATAAGTTCACATGTTGAAGCCATTGGGACATGCAATTTAGTTTTAAGCAGCGGTTTTATTTTACAATTGGAAAAGACATTTTATGTTCCTAGTTTTTCGAAGAATTTAATTTCTGTTTCGAGACTAGCTCCTTTAGGATTTAATTTCAATTTCTCAAGTTCTGGTTTTACTTTAATAAATAAATCAAAAACCATTGGTTTTGGTTCTTTAGTTGATGGTCTTTATTCAATTGATGTGAAAAATGATGTTGCTTATGATTCAATGCATGTGACAACTGGTTCCAAACGGTGTGTTGTGAATGAGAAGTCCTCTATGTTGTGGCATCGGAGACTAGGGCATATCTCCATTAAGAGAATTAAGCGTTTAGTGGATGAAGGAGTACTTAGTACTCTAGACTTTGCTGATTTTGATACTTGTGTGGATTGTATTAAGGGTAAACAAACCAACAAGTGCAAGAAAGATGCCAAGAGGAGTTCTAACCTTTTAGAAATCATACATACAGATATTTGTTGTCCAGATATGGATGCAAATAGTCCGAGATACTTTATCACCTTCATAGACGATTATTCACGATACATGTATCTCTACTTGCTTCGTTCTAAAGATGAGGCCTTAGATGCCTTTAAAGTTTTTAAGGCTGAAGTAGAGAAACAATGTAATAAACAAATTAAGATCGTGAGATCGGACAGGGGTGGAGAGTACTATGGTAGATATACAGAGAGTGGACAAGCACCTGGTCCATTTGCGAAGTTTCTTCAAGAAAATGGGATTGTTGCCCAATACACTATGCCTGGTTCTCCGGACCAGAATGGTGTAGCTGAAAGAAGGAACTGAACTTTAATGGACATGGTGAGAAGCATGAGGAGTAATGTAAAACTTCCTCAATTTTTGTGGGTTGAAGCGCTAAAAACAGCCGCGTATATATTAAACCGAGTTCCATCTAAGGCTGTCTCTAAGACTCCTTTTGAGTTATTTAAAGGATGGAAACCGAGTTTGAACCATATACGTGTTTGGGGTTGCCCATGTGAAGTAAGAATCTATAACCCTCAAGAAAAGAAGTTAGACCCTAGAACTCTTAGTGGTTATTTCGTTGGATATGCAGAAAAATCCAAGGGGTATAGATTTTATTGTCCATCACATAGCACTAGAATTGTGGAGTCAAGAAACGCCAAGTTTCTTGAGAATGACTTAGTTAGTGGGAGTGAAGAATTTCAGAATATTTTTTCTGAAAGGGATCACATTGAGAGTCAACCATGCAAACTAAGTAACAAATTGATTGTTGTACACGCTCCTCAAGTACAGATGCGTGCTACACAACCAATAAATGAGAATCCACATGAAGCTGGAAACGACTTAATAGATCATACCATTGTTGAAGGCCAACAAAACAATGGTGAACAATCTGGTGAACAACTGGCTGAACAGCCCGTTGTTGAACCAGATGATGAAGCAACATTAAGAAGATCTAATAGAGTCAAAAGACCAGCAATACCTAGTGATTATGTAGTGTATCTACAAGAATCAGACTGTGACATAGGAGCTGAAAATGATCCCGAAACGTTTTCACAAGCCATGAGTTCTAAGGAATCAAACTTATGGATTGATGCTATGAAAGATGAGATGAATTCTATGGCATTTAATAAAGTCTGGGATCTCGTTGAGTTGCCAAGTGGTGTAAAAGCCATCGGGTGTAAGTGGGTGTTTAAAACCAAGAGAGACTCACAAGGCAACATTGAGAGATACAAAGCGAGACTTGTAGCCAAAGGGTTCACTCAAAGAGAGGGAATTGATTATAAGGAAACCTTTTCTCCAGTATCTAAAAAGGATTCTCTTAGGATCATCATGGCATTAGTGGCTCATTTTGACCTTGAGCTACATCAAATGGATGTGAAAACGGCTTTCCTTAATGGTGATCTAGAGGAAGAGGTTTATATGAAACAACCAGAAGGATTTTCCTCTAGTGAAGGTGAGCACTTAGTTTGCAAGCTAAATAAATCCATATACGGTTTAAAACAGGCCTCCCGCCAGTGGTATTTCAAGTTTAATGAGGTTATTACTTCATTTGGTTTTAAGGAAAATATCTTGGATCAATGTATATACCTCAAGGCTAGTGGGAGCAAAATCTGTTTTCTTGTGTTATACGTGGATGACATTTTGCTTGCAACTAATGATGTTGGTATGATGCGTGAGGTGAAAAGTTTTCTCTCGAAGAACTTTGATATGAAGGATATGGGAGAGGCATCTTTTGTCATTGGCATAAAGATCCATAGAGAAAGATCTAGAGGCATTTTAGGCCTGTCTCAAGAGTCCCCAATCATACACAAAGTCTTAGAGAGATTTAACATGAAGCAATGTTCACCTAGTGTGGCTCCCATTGTAAAGGGAGATAAGCTGGATTTAAGTCAATGCCCCAAGAATGATTTTGAGCGGGAACAAATGAAAAATGTCCCATATGCTTCAGCCGTTGGAAGCCTTATGTATGCTCAAATCTGCACTAGACCCGACATTGCATATGCTGTTGGGGTTTTGGGAAGATATCGAATTAATCCAGGGGTTGAGCATTGGAGAGCTGCAAAGAAAGTGATGAGATATCTCCAAGGAACAAAGGATTTCATGCTCATGTACAAACAAAGCGACAAGCTGGAAGTAGTGGGCTACTCCGATTCAGACTACGCTGGCTGCATTGATACCCGAAAATCAACTTCTGGTTATATATTTTTGCTAGCTGGTGGAGCTGTTTCTTGGAGAAGTGCAAAGCAAACTTCAATAGCTACTTCTACTATGGAAGCTGAGTTTGTTTCTTGTTTTGAGGCTACCTCGCATGGTGTGTGGTTGAAGAGTTTCATATCTGGGCTTAGAGTTATGGACTCTATTTCTAGGCCATTAAAGATATATTGTGATAACTCAGCTGCTGTTTTCATGGCTAAAAACAATAAGAGTGGAAGTCGAAGCAAGCACATCGACACTAAATATTTATGTGATACCTTGAAAATTTGAAATAAAAATAAATAAATAAATCAGATAAATTATATCTGATAAATCAAATGAAAGTAAGATCAAAATATTTTTTTATACTTGGTGTATAAAAATATACGCACACTACATGCAATAGAATTAAACACTTATGTAGCATCGAAAAAAAAAATGGAAATAAATCAGATAAAATATAGGTGACATAATAAGTAAATAAATAAATAAATAAATAAAAATAGTAAGAATATTATAAATTACTAATAATAGCATCAAATTAATAAATGAAAATATCATATCATAAAACAATGACACATGCTAAGATCATCTACCAAATAATGTATATACATTATGTACATATATTTATATGTAAAACTCAAAATACATTTAAGTAATTAAAAATAATAATAATAAAATAAAATAAAATGAAACATCAATATAAATGGGAATCAAATCAGGGATCAATACACATGCCATGTTCATCAACTACCAACCTATCATTATGTATAGACATTATTATTTTTATTATTATTATTATTATTATTATTATTATTATTATTATTATTATTATTATTCATACAATTATCAAATAAATAAAATAAACCATAAGGACCATCTAGACCTATAAATACACCCTCTTAGCCATCCTAAACACTGCAAATCGGAGAGATAGAAGCTATATATACATATACATATATATACATAATCTCGCCGGAAAATTTATGCCTATAATATTTTACGTATCAAACTTCGTAAAAACGATAGAGGAGGGTCGTGAGAGGTCTAGGAATACTTCCCAATAAATTCCAGACCGATTCGTAGTCACCGGAGTTTCCTAGAGGTCGCCGGAGTTGCAAGCCGTGGAAACGGGTCTTTAGAAAAGACACGATTTTGCCGTAGATAGGGGTGGCGGAGCTTCTCCTCGACGTGAGGATCATTTTGCAACTGGAATCGTCGAAATCCGTTACCTGTAAGTAAAGTTATCGCTCGCCGGAGTTTTCGGGATTCCGGTCGCCGGAATCGCGACCTGGAGAAGAGCTGGGAAGGAGACAACCCAGTCTTCTTGGGCCGGGTCGCGAATTTGGGCCGGTTCGGCCCGTTTTCAATAAAAAATTTAAAATAAAATAGTAAATGAAATAAATAAAATCTGGAAAAATATAAATTAAATACCTGGTATAAAAATACATATTCGGACCAAGAATAATTGAAAAATAATATTTGTAGCTATTTTTAATTGATTTAATTGTAATTGGGCCAAGTTGTACACATTTAGTAAATAATTAACTAAATGACGAAAATAATTATGAAATAAATATGGGAGCAAGCTAGATTAAATATATGACTAACTAGGACATTTGGGACCATTTATAATTAATAAAAATTATAATTTGCATATTTAATTGTAATTAAACCGGTTAATAGATATAAGAAATTAAATGAATAAATAAAGGAAATAATTCTAAAATAAATATCTGGACAACCTAGGTCAAGTATAGACCCAAAATATAGTTATGGATGATTAGTAATTTATAAAAGTGATGATTAAGTTATTTAATTTAATTGAGCCATATAAACTAGTTAAGTAATTAAATAAGGAAATTTTGATATTAATGGTGAAATAAATAAATCACTAAGATTGAAAATAATGTTCTGGACTTAAAATGATGTTTGTAATAAAATAAGGAAAAGAAAATAAAGTTGGGTTATAAATGAATGACTATATTTGGACTTAATAACTAAATTATTGAATTAATTGACTAATTAAATTAGCGTGATTAAATTAATAATTATTATCCTTGATTATTAGTGATTTGGACTCCATATAAATTATTAAACTATTTGAACTCATAAAAAATTAGTTGATGAATATAAACAAATTAATTAAGTAATGTGTACTTAATAAGTTAGTTAATTGACTTCATTGGACTAGTTTAACTAAATCAATTAGTTTAATGGATAAATTAGTTAATTTATAGACTTGATAACATTTCTGGAATTTATATTAAAAATAGAAAATTAAAACGAGATTAGAATTTGATTATTGGACTTAATTGAATTAGATTAACGTATTTAGCTATATTGATATAATTAAACTTATTTATTTGATTTAGTTAGTTCAATTAAATTAGTGAGTCAAATAAATAAAACTGGAGGATTGGATAAATTAATTTAATTGGGTTAGTTAGTATAAATAAACTATTGAACTAATTAAAGTTGTTATTGAGATTAGATTATCATTAATGATTATTATTTCGAATTATTGCCTAAGTCAAGTTATTATTAAAAGGGTTATTAAATAAATTATATAAATTATG